AATATGAAATGAAGTCAGTCTTCGCCCTATAGGGAAATTCCTAGGGATTGAACCCAGACCTTTCTTCGTGGTAGAACCGTGTTTCTTCCACTCCGCTATCATGCCTTTCGGCCATAGAGAAACAAGTTGCCTCGTATGGGGTCAAGTGATCCATCTCTGTTCAGCCAGCTTAATATAAATGAGATCAGAACCCAAAGCGAGCAGGTTTGGGGTTCCAGATGAGCCTTCTGGAATGATGACAAGCAGAGCCAGGAGGTCTGGGCTCTTCCTTCTTGCTTGTCTTCAGGGTTCTGCCAATTCGCAGTTCTGTTGAGCTGTCATGAGCAATAGTTAATAACACCACCTCTTTTTTCCCAATATGAAATGAAGTCAGTCTTCGCCCTATAGGGAAATTCCTAGGGATTGAACCCAGACCTTTCCTCAGGGTAGAACCATGTTTCTCCCACTCCGCTATCATGCCTTTTGGCCATAGAGAAAGAAGTTGCCTCGTATGGGGTCAAGTGATCCATCTGGAATCTTGACTGTGATTTAACAGCATCTCGGGGGACACTATGATCCCATTCTTCTTGTGGCCATTTTTTACCCTTTCCGCAAGTCCCCAAACCTCTGGGCTTTGCTTTTCCCTCAATTTCTTGACCCCTGTGGCTTTGCCGAGCTTCATCCCAAAGAGAGTGTTCTTTTCACCCAAATTTGGAACTTCTCCGTCTCCATCTTGTCCTGGCAGGTACAGTATTTGGGATGGTCCCCAGGAGTTCCAGATGCCCCCTGCTGGATGAAGGGCAATACTTCTTCAAGTTGCGGATCATGGACCGATTCCCTTGTTTCAGGAAGGCACCTCCATCCCAACCCGCTTATCCAGGTAATTCAGCTGCTGGTGGATTCCCAATGTTTCCTCGTGATCCAGGTCCCCATATGAAGCTACCAGAAGCTGAAGCAGACACCCATGCTCCAGAAGAATTGTGGGGCAGGTTTTTCCGGATCTTTGGCCGTGTTCTGAAGGTTGTTCTTCCTAACGTTTTGGCAGTCTCCATCCTCTGAAGATGCCGGCCACAGAGACTGGTGAAACTTTAGGAAGAACAACCTTCAGAACACGGCCAAAGAGCCCGAAAAACCCACAACGACCATCAGATCCCGGCCATGAAAGCCTTCGCGAATAAATTGTGGAGCACTTTGGAAGGGAGGGGATGTGTTTTAGGGTATGAAGCACGTGGGAGAGTGAATATGCCTTTGGAATGTTGTCCAACCAAACCTGGCATTACAACATTTCCCTCCAAAAAAACAAAGCCACAGACTCTTTAACAAGTTTACCAGCCTGCTTCTCCATGCTCCCAAAAGTATCAAATATGAATTAATCCCAGCCTGAGGATGAAAACATTATCCCTGGCCAGCATGAGCATGCATACAGAGCACAATAGTCCACGACTGTTTAGAAGCATCAGGGTGCAGGCAAAGAGGACCCAAAGTCTGGGATTCTGGAGGGCACAGACCAAGGTGGGGTGCCAATGGGAGTGGGAACAGAGCGGGCATCAGATGGCGTTCCATGGAGAAAGAGTAGAAATCTCATTTCAGACACGAGCTGCTGGATAGCTCAGTGGTTTAGGCATCGGGTTACAGAGCCAGATGTTGGGAGTTCAGTTCCCCCCACCTTTGCAAGGGCTGAGCCCGATGATCCAGATGTTCCTTTCCAGCTCTACCATTCTAGGATGATGATGATGACCAGAGCAGTGATGCCTTAAGTCGGAGACCCTGCCCTATTCTCTGTGCATCGCTTGCTATATTATGGAAGCAGCAGGGGCAATATTCTGGGATGGTCTTCAGGCAGGACTGGCCCTATCGTTGGGTTACATGAGAGCAGCAAATTATTCAGTTCAGGTGCTAAGGTGGGAGGGGTGCTGGGGGAAATGCTTGCCAAATTCCTAAATAGTTTCACCAGTTTTAAGGTCTATTTATGCCGTGGCGCTATGGGTGGCTCCATCTCAGGTCAGGCAGCACTTTTCAACCTGATGAAGAGAGAAAAATTGTTATTTTATTTATTTCGTTCACAATCTGCCTTTCTTCCAAAAAGCGGGTCCCAAGGGGGCTTATAAAGCATTTTGAAAATGAAGGTCACCCTATTTAAAATATGACCAAGGAGTTGCCTGGAGTCCACTGTGGGACTGGGGGGGCAAGTTGGGGGTTGTTATAAGATTTTTGGGGACCGGAAGTGCTGATCAGGTGACTGACAGAACCCACAAGAGGAATCTTACCTAAGGGGCCGAGATTCAGTCAGGAGACACAAAACCACTGGAGGGAAGGCCCTTCTAAACAGGGGCTGACTTGATGGGGAGAATTGGCCCCACAGAAGTTTCATCAGGTGGACCCGGCTGGCCCTGGGTTCAAATCCTGTGCAGGGGAAGATGGAGAGGGCAGTGGATCCCAGTGGCAAAAGAGCAGGGCACGTGGCGGGGGACAGAGGTCCGAAATCTTCCATGTTCTTGGATTAAAGGGGGGGTTCTGAGAGTTGTACCCCAAAAAGGGGGGACGTTTCCCAAACTCTGGTCGGGCGGCACTCCAAGGAGAATCGGGTACAGGAGGGAGGGGGTCTCCTCACGGAGCTTTTGGGCTGAAGT